GTTCAGTTTGCCATCTGTCTGGACCAGATGATTTTCGTGGTCCTTTCATGTTCTCTGATATACCAAAGGTAGTTCAGAAAGGGAAGGTTTAGATGCTGTGGCACAGAAGTGTCTGGAGGATGAAGGGTCACTTGCAGTAGAGAATGCTGTGGGGATCGTCCCCAAGAGGGAGGACCAGACTCAGAAGAGCCAGAAGTAGAAATTAGGCTGTGGAGTTCTGTGTGAAAGTTTAAGACTAAGATGTTGCAGAAAGAAAGCAGTCATCATGGGAAAATGTACATAGCATAGAATTGATTGTGAATCATTTTTAGGTGTTTAATTCAGTAATTTTGATTATGTACAAACTGTACAACAATCACCACTATCCATTCCAGAATATATTCATCTTTCCAAATGAAAACTCTGTTCAACACTCACTCCCCATTCCCTGCTTTCCTTTTCCCTGGCCCCTAGTAATATCTATTCTATTCTTAGACCATATGATTCTATCTAATTTAGTGCCTCAAATAAAAGCGGAACCCTACAATATTTGCTTTATCATGACCAGCATATTTCATCTAGCATAACGTCCTTGAGGTTATTCCTTGTTGTAGCATGTGTCAGAATTTTATTTCTTTTTAAGATTGAATAATATTCCTCTGTATGTGTATTTGTTAATCCATTCATTTGTTGGGAGAGATTTGTGTTGTTTCTTTTAGCTGTGATGAATGATATGGTTATGAACATATATTTAGCTGTGATGAATGATATGGTTATGGACATATATTTAGCTGTTTAGCTTTTTAAGGAATTGCGTACCATTTTCTCCAGCGTATAGACTGTTTTGCATTCCCACCTGCAGCTTCTCCAGGTGAGAGAATGCTTACAAGGATTCAGTAGACACCAGTCTGGCTGCAGCCTAGATTTCATAAGCAGCAGCAGAAAGATATGCAATGAAGACAGCAGACTGAGTCCATAGGATGGAATCTTGATGGCTAGGTCATGGTATTACTACCTCCTCTGCAGACTACAGGAAACTGTTAAGGACTTTTGAGCCAGGGAAGAGTAGGATTAGAGTGGCTGTGTAGGCAAGTTAAGGGAGAAGGACTATTTGTGGTGTGGCTTGGGCCCTGGCAGCACGGATCAGAATCTGTGAGCTGGCAGATGATGAGAGATCTATCTAGCTGGGAGATCTGAGCTCTGTATAGAAAAGTTAGAGAGGCAGGGATGGATGTGGAGGCCCAAGAATAAATATGGACGAGTGAGAGATGTCTTGCAGACAGGATGTTTGCATGGGCTCAGCCCTTCCTGGGCTCAGCAGTGGAACATTGGTGACCAACCAAGTCCACCTATGCTGAGTGAAGGTAAGATATGTGACAGTAAGGAGCAATACCCTCCTCCTCGAGTGTCATGATTTGCAAGGTGAGGACAGGGCATGTCATGATTTGCAAGGTGAGGACAGGGCATGGGAGAGGGCCTGTGCCTGGTTAGTGCCTTGTCTACTGGAGGAGTAGACTTTGCAGTGGCTGCTGAGCCGTTTCCTGGATTCCTGGAAATGCCCTCACCTAACTGGGGGTCCCAGAGCCCGGCTCCTTGAATAAGGAAAGATAGGGGTTGGGATATTTGCACAAGGACCCAAAACACCGCACTCAAAGCAAGCTGAACATCTGTGGAGGGAAGGAAGGACAGACAGGTGCCATTCATGGTGTCGAAAGGAGATCTAAGACAGCTGCTAAATTCTTATTTTGATTTTTAATTTACATAGTACATAAGATTATAGTATATTATACAATATTACAGATAGTCTATCCCTGATCTGAAATGCTTTGGACTGGAAGTGTTTTCAGTTTTGGAGTTTTACAGATTTCAGAATGTTTGCATAGACTTTGCCAATATGAATCAAAAAATCTGAAATCTGTGCTGGGCACCGTGGCACCCATCTGTAATCCCAGCACTCTGGTTGGCTGAGGCAGAAATATGTCAGGCTCAAGCCTACCCTTCCACAAATCTGAAATCCAAAGCCTTTTCAACATTGTATGTCTGTGTTTAAAAAAAGTTTATGAATTCAAATTTTCCGATGAGGGACACTTGATCTGTAAAGGGAAGGTGTTTGTATGACTGATTTGTTTTATATTTGGCATGTGTAGCTGCCAACTTCTAGGTAAAAGTATATTTCTTCCTCAGGATACTCTTTCTCTCTGTTCCTTTGGTTCCCACCACTGAAGATTCCAGAGGGCAAAAGGATTCTTTGAACTCTGCTTTGTGTCAACAGATGACACAAACTGTGAGTGCTGTGTGTGTGCAGTGTGCCAGGTTACGTGTGTGGGTGTGGTGACTGTCTGTGGGTTTTGGTGGACCTAAGTTGCAAGTGTTTTAGAGAACTTCTGTTTAAAATAGATTAAATGAAAGGATCTAAAATCAGATTTAGAAGACATAATTAAAATAATTAGGCGGAGTATGAGGAAACACACTAATAAGTTGATGTAACAACTGTTTCAAGGCATAGTATGTAGAATACAATGAGAAAGCAGCTAAATCATGGTGTGACCCTCCCACTGAGAGGCGTGAGACACCCAAGACCCGTACACACCAGGACCGCACAATGTGAGATCCCTGCCACATGGGGGGAGGCTGGTGGAGACCATAGAGGTGAATAGTGCTGAGTAGTTATAGGAGCCATTATTAACAAGAATCATTGCATCGTCTGTGTTCTTTATGAACAGAGATCCATTTCTTGAGACAGATTTGAATATATTGCTTTCGTTCTGCTCAACTGTGGATTTAGAATTTTAAAAAGTTAATGATTCTTATCCTGGTGCTGAGAAAGAAAATGACTCAGTTGGAAAAACAATCTCTCAGCCCACGTACATTTTTTATCTGAACGTTGAACTGTCAGCAGCCTTTTCCAGGTTTGGTGCTGTGAGGGGAAGCCGGGCTGCTGACATCCAGCGACAAAAGTGTGACAAGGCACAGCCACCAACCTGCTCCATTATGCAAATGCGCCCTCTGTGACCAATTGTGACTCCTTTCTGACTCAGCCCTGCCTCATTTGGACCCTGGGAATTGGTGGTTAACCAGCTGCTCTGGATATTAGAGGTGGGAAATGAGCCTGTTTCCTCAAGGGGGACTAATTGCCCAAAAGCATTAGCTTGACTTTGAAGGCAACCACTTATGATTTTCAAAGAAGTCCTCTGAGCTCCCAAGGAAATAAACCTCTGTCTTTCATGATTCCCCTCATCCCAGCCCCAGGACTCTGAATTCTTTTCCAGCGTGAGCTCAGCAGAACTCTCCCACATTTCCTGACTTTGAGAGCAGTTGCTCGCTGTGACCCAGTACCCAAAGAGCCAGCACAGGCTTCAGAAGAGAACCCAGCCCTTGTCCTGTGCCTGCGTCTTTATATCACCTATGCTTTCCTGGGCATCACGCCTTTTGAATGGTTGAGGCAGGCATGTAGGACACCTGGGAAAAATGAGGCCACCTTGAAAATTCACCATACCAGACTCCTCCCTGTGTGCCTCAGGAAGACCTAGACTTTGAACAGGATCAAAGAGGCCATAAGTCCAGGCATGGGGGATGAAAAGCTCCTGTGAGGTAAAGAACAGAGAAGAGAACTTGGCAATGTTTGTAAGGAAGACGTGTAGAAAAGGGCAGGAAGAGTAAGGGAGAAAAAAGAAATGGTTAGTGAGGGGCCTTGGAAGCCTATGGAACTCACCAGAGGCAGACATTTTTTCCCCTGGAGATTTATTTTTGTGGCTACTCAAAGCCTTGGAGGTGGTTTCTCCAACTAACATGAGGATTAAGAGGAAGGAAAAGATGTAGAATAGAAAACATGGTATAAATCCAAACTAAAAGCTTTTCTGGTGATACGTTGAATTGTATTCATTTTTCTTTTTCCTGACTTTGTAAAATATACCTATCACAGCAATGATATGAGGCAAGAAATGGATCCTTGACATCAGGGAAATTGTTTGCTCTTTAGACAGGGAAATTCTGTCCCAGTGGCCCTGGAGGGGCTCATCCAGAGAGCTGAAGATGCAGAGATGCCACCTTCAGCCTGACAAGTGACACGCAGTGGAGTCTCTGAAAGGAATGTAAATAGACTTCTCTCCTGCTTCCAGATCTTCTCAGTATGCCCTGTTACCACAAGGCTGACAGAACAAACTAGGGCAGAGATGTCGGTGAACATTTATTGAGTGTTTACTGGGTGCCCCGCTGTTGTAATGCCTCGACGTGTATTGAAGAATTTACTTCACATGGGAATCCATGGGGAAAATGATGCACAGAAAGATTAATTTTACACAGCAAATCTGTGGGCCCAGGGGATTTCAACCCAAGCAGTCTGGCTTTAACATATGTACTCTGAAGTACCGAGCCACACTACTTAGAGGTAACAAGGAAGATGTGAAACTAAGTATGATGTATGGCATGTGCCTATCCACCGTGCTGGGTGCTGGGTGTTGCTTGCTTTAATGTTTCCAGAAGCTTCCAGATGGCCACATAACCCAAGTGTCTGGCCCTGAGCTCCTCTAAGATGTCCTGAAGAGATCATCACATTTGGTTCATCTGAATAGCTATGACTTCTAACCAATCATTCTAATGTATGCATTAAAATAAAATCGACATAAGTATACCCATATTCTTTTAACCGTATTGCAGAAAATGTGAATAAAAGAAGGAAATATACATCCTACTGTACATCATAATCAGTCTTATTTTGCCATATTTCCTAACAGCCCTTTTTGAATAACTCTGAATAATATAAATACAATTTTATGTCTAACATTGAAAGGATTTTTCCCTATGTTTTTGTGAAGTCTTCATAACTGTGGTTCTTAGACTAGTAATATTTTTATTTCTTACAGTATTTTCATTGGGAACATTTTGAGTTTCCTAATAATTGCTGGGGGTGGAGATTTAATATTAATTTTTAAAGGCATTTTGTGCTAGATCTTGGTTATACAGCCACTCAGCGGGCAAGGTTACTTTTTTTAAACTATGGTTCCTTGTTTTTCTGTTAACAGGGATCTATCGAACAGAAAAGGATAAAGGTACTTTGTACGAGCTCACCTTCAAAGGGGACCACAAGCACGAATTCAAGCGACTTATCTTATTTCGACCCTTTGGCCCAATCATGAAAGTAAAAAAAGAGAAAGTCAACATGGCCAACACACTTATCAACGTTATCGTGCCCCTAGCCAAAAGGGCGGACAAGTTCCGGCAGTTCATGCAGAATTTCAGGTTTGTTTGTTTGCACGTGGTATTTATCTTCCTCAGTGGGGTGCGTGTTAGAACGCTGATATCACTTCCCGTCATCTGCTTCCTTTCCCCTGCCAACTACAAAGGCCCCTTTCTCCTGCCTGCTCAAACCGTGTCTTCTTCAAATGAAGTTTATCATTTGTATTTGCCTTTCCCTAGAGCAATTGCAAAACTCCCCTGTAAACGTATTTATTTACCAGTGGAATGAACGTGGGAAGGCCTGGGTTCTCATCAGGATGTGCAGAGCTGACCCAGTGCTGTGAGGTTCAGCTCTGGCTTGAGTTTGGGCTCATCTGTGGGCACAGTGGGAACTGAGACTCTTCAAGACGAGTGGGCGATGTTCTTAGTCTTCAGGAGGAGGAGGAGCTGGCTGGTGACACGGTGCCTGTCCACGGTGACCTCTTGGTAGTGGAGGCTCCTGTCAGTGGAAGGGTTCCTGCTTTAGCTGTGACTGAAAAGGACTGAATCAGGATTTTAGTTCTAAGCTACATCTTCTAAGAGATTGAATCGAGGACTATATCAGGAACGTTTTGAGTACTCATTTTTATAGCTGCTCAGTGAGACTACGTGGAGTTTCATTCTCAGACGCAGATACAGCTTTCACGCCTGTGCGTGGAAGCTCCTTATTATACGGCATTGGATCTTTGAAGCCTTTATGTCTCAAATTCACGTGTTCACGGAAGTTCGCCAGCTAATTTATGGTCAGCTTGTTTCAAAGAGACAGAGTCATATTATCTGATTATAAATCCTGGAAGATTAAGTTTACTTTTAATCTCTAATCGTGAAGTTCATATTATTAAAAGGCAGTAATGTTCAGTATGTGGATGTGGCTGGTACCTCTCAAACTTCTGACTAATAAACACATTCTTTTTTCTTTAACTTAAAGAGTAACCCCTTTGCAATTAGGTTACTTAATAAGAGAATCAAATAGCCTGTGTAGAAGAGATTTGTGATGACATCTGCTCTAATCTCTTAATTTAGAAGCCCTGACCTGCGGTTCCCTAAGCAAGGGGTGCAGACCAGGTAACCCCTGCTTCTCCAGGGAGGCTGCCTCCTTGTCTAGATCAGCCCTAGATGGAAAACTCTTCACTGTTTGGACCTGGAGTTGGCCTCCCAGTGACTTTTATCCATTGACTGTAGTTCTAGCATCTGGAGAAATAACTGAACAAATCCACTTCCTCATAACCATCTTCACCTTTCAAGAATCCAAAGAAGAGAATGACACTTCCCTTCTCTTCTTCACCAGCTCTCATGTCCCCAGCTTTCTTAGTCCCTGGCTGTGAGCTAGTGGCTTCTCAGCTGGAGTTCTGCCTTTGGCCACGGCATAACCCAGTGTGAGTGGGCTCAACTGTCCATCTGTGCCCAACCTGCAGAACCCACCTCTTCATTCACAGTCACTTCCCTGCCGAGTGTCTGGGGAGCTGTGAGACTGAGATGATGTTCATGTCGTTGAGCTCCTTTGATGTGTCTGCACTTTCTTTCCTATCTCCTCTTTGGAATGGCAGAGTATTGGTTGATTCAACATTACATCCTGAGAACAGCTGAACCCATGGTGGGCAGTAGGCATTCTGCTATGCCTTTCTGCTATGAGGACTAGGTTCTAGCATGTTGCTTAGGCAGATTCTGGGTTCTGAGCTTTGATTTAGCACACAGCCTGGTCATGGAACACATTGGGCTGGGTGAGGTAGCGGGTACACTAAAGGGGCCTCTGCTCAGCACAAGGCCAGGTCCTCAGTGTGGTCCTCAGAGGTCCTGGAAAAGAAGAATTCTCCTGGGCATATGTGGTCAGCTCTTTATTCAGTGTCATGAGTATTACAAGTAATTAACAATAAGAAGACAACTAGCAGGGAAGTATTGTTGAAAAAAGTAAGGGTAGTCTACAAGTCTTTAAAGTGGGAGCAGTGAGATGGAATGTAAGTGTACTTAATGTTCAACGTACACAAAAATCCTAGGCATTGTTTTTCTTGGCTTTTGCTAATGATGTGTCCCCTGCAGCATGCAGGTAGGAAGGGGTGAGGGAAGGGCTGGTTCTTGGACAGGATGTTTTGGGTGCCTGTTGAGAATGCCAGGCACCCTACCCAGATGTGAGAGGCAAGGAGGAATTCTGGATGTGCTCCTTGCCTTCCTGGAAGTAGCATCTGCTGTCACAGAACCAGGTGCTGCAGGAGATACATGCAAGGGACAGGGCCACAGACAGAAGGCCCCAAAGCACAAGCCTACATTTGCTCTGCAGGCCAGGAGTTCCCCAGTGCTCTGAAAAAGTGGGATGGACAGGGTGAATACCCCAGGGTTTTGTGCGCCTGGGGAGCACCTAGTAAAGATGGTGTTTCATAGCAGCAAAGAACCCATCATTCAAAACATGGTGTTCAGATAACTAAAGAAGCACAGCAGGAAAAAATTATTCCACACCTGAAACTAAGGTAAACGCTAATCAATTAAATATTTAGAAGCAATTAGTACAACCATAAAATTACTGAGAGAATATAAAGCATATGGGGCTATTTATGAAATATTTGGTATTTTCTCTCTGGAATTCTTTCCAACCCAAGATTGGAAACTGTTAACTGTAATTGCCACCAAAGGTGCTACTGTGAGTGACTTTTCTTTCCTTTTTTTATTTGCTTTTCAAAGTTTTGTATATTACCCTATGCTTCATATTTTATTGAAAAATTCAGTGAAAGGGTTTTTTTGGCTTTTATAATTTAAGCATGACTTTCTAGTTTGTAGGATCAACACCGGCCTCTATAAGATGTGTAAGCAATATGGAACGCTACGGGGAATGAGTTATTTAAAAAGTGACTTTAACCACAGCATGGCTGGGGTTATATGCATGTCCCACCACATCTAGCTAATTTTACCTTTCTTAAAGTTATAGAAATCGTAATTATTATTAGTTGATCATCAATCCATGCACCTTTCTGTGCATATATGCAGATTGAAGGACAGCTTGCTAGCTAGGAATAATTTAACGTGACATGAGGTATAGTTTATATTCTATTTCTGATGAAAAAATTTAATTTTTCCTTTTTTACTTTGTGTTACTAAGGATTGAACTCAGGGCCTTGCACTGAGCTACATGCCCAGACCTTTTGTATTTTTGTTAATTTTGTGAAAGGGTCTTTGTAAGTCACTAAATTGCGAGCGTGACTTCCAACCTGGCAATTCTCCTGCCTCAGCCTCTCAGCATGCTGGGGTTATAGGCATGCACCACTATGTTCAGCTAATTTTATCTTTCTTAAACTTTTATAGAAGAGAGTCTGAAGTATAGCAGAAAAAATTGCTGAACTTTTAGAAAATCTTTTCACTAGAAGAGAGATTAGTTCCTCAGAGATACCTCTAAAATTAAACAGTGATTTTGCAAAAATGTTGGAATTATTGTATATTTTATAGCATTTTAATTTTAGACTGGATTGAATTGAAAATAAGAAAAAGAAATCAGCACAGTTAATATTTTCTTCTAATTGTTGGCTATCTCCTACTATAACCTTGGTGGGGTTTGCAACCTTTATAAGCTGTTCTGCAACGTGCTAGTTCTACATGAAGTGAGTTTAGTACATCAGTGAGCAGACCACTTATAGTAGTAGCTCCCTTCCCAAGTTCTTTGTGGGGTGTATTTCATGGGCTATCTTTACAGGAGTGGTATGTGCTTGAGCATTGATATCTACCTGCTGTCTTTGCCGTTTGAGGATAACGGGCCTAGGTTTAAAATTTTGGAGAGGGGCTTACTTTCTTTCTCCAAAACTTTGTAGATATTCTTCTGGCATTGATTGACATCATCTCTTCTGCAAGTGACTTACTTTTGCCTGAGAATCCCCTTTTGTGTGTCTTGGATTGTAACAAGTTAACTAACATCTCTCTGGTCTTGATGTCTGTTGTCCTGTAGCCATTTGCCTGGGATACAATTGCTTTCCTTGTTTTGGAGGTTGTGGTGGTCAGGGAGATTGATGCTCTGTTTGGGGTGCTCTGGCTCCATTGGTTTGTCTGCGCTGCACAGACACAATTGTGTATTGCACATGGTCCCATTTATCAGCCTCTCTTTGGTTTTTAATATCTCTGTCTTTCATCTGTATTTGGGTAAACGCTTCCCTTTACGTCAGGAATTTGATTTGCTGGTGTATCTACTCTGTACCTTGCTACTTTCCATCTAATACCTCTGGGTTTTTTTGACTATCAGTGTACTTCCTGAGCACACGCTATGCGTCTTACTCCTATTTTGTTGTTTTTATCATTTCCTCTTTAAACCCTTTTAAAAAAATTGAATTCACATTTTTGTTAAAGTGTGAAACATTTAAAAAAACACTTTTGTGTGAATTATACTTTCTTTCAGACTAGGTTTTCATTTGTTTTGAATGCTAGTTCTTAAATCTATACCTTTCATAATACCTCTTTCTCTGTCTGTCTTCCTCCCTCCCTCCTCCTCCTCTTTCTTCTGCTTCTGCTTCTCCTCCTCTTTCTTCTCCTTCTTCTTCTTTTTCTGTTTGTCTGTCTCTCTCCCTCCCTCTCCTCTCTCCCCTCTTCTCTCTACCTGTATTCTTCCTGCTGGGATGAGGTTGCTGTGATGTTGCTTTTCATCTTTCCTCTGTGTCAGGTGCACAGGGTACCCTATTTGGGTACCTATTTGCTCCTATTCGGGCTTCCTATTTGCTCTACAATGATGTGAATGGATTTTTCCTGACTCTTTCCATCCTGCAAACCGTATGTGACTACCCCTGGCTGGATTCTGAGGACAGAATGTGGCTCTGTTCACTTTATTTGTGGTGGAAAGAAGTGGGTGGTGGGCAGAAAGCTCACCCAGACCATGAGCACCCTTCTTGCAGCTCTTTGGGACTTTGGAGTGGACATGCGTCTAGTTGATACATCCTCTTACTTAACGTAGATGCTTTTGGCTCACACAGTGGGTCCTCAGGTGAGACCTGGAACCCTAGAAAGAATCAGCCCAGTTTATTCATTTCTCCTCTGTCATCCTCTTCTTCAGCAGCTCT